ATGAAACTCAAACTTTTGCCTGTTGCTGCCCTATTCTGGACCATAAATGTGGAAAAATGTAAGTTGCAGGAAGCTCACAAACTTTAATTTGATGAGAAAAAGCTTATTGGACTATCCTGTTTTACAGCATTTGGGCAAATATCAGATGGATCTCCATTAAGGATAAATCCGCTAGTTGGTTTCCCACTTCCAAATGTGCAAGATAATACACTTCGACGAATGGCTGCACAAGAGGGCATGCCACAATTGGATTTGCTAGATATTTTGTTTCCATCAAGGATAGATCCACGCGTTGGTCTCCCACATCCAAACTTGCAAGCTGATGTGTTTTTACAAAGAACGAGTACAAGTTATATGCCACAACTGGGTTCGCAAGATATTTTGTCTCCATCAAGGATAAATCCACTAGCTGGTATGCCGCTTCCAATGCAGATGTTATATCCACGTTATAATGTGCTGTAAAAACTCCGCAAAGTTTACTCAGCCAGTATTACATCCAAGACCTTATCACAATAAAATTGGCATTAAAATCACGCCATCCAAAAGTGCTGAAATACCTCAACTATTTTTATGTATCAGGAGATTTTTCACAACACCTAGCTTCACATTATAAGCTCGATCAGAGCAAACTTTATAAATATTTGTTAGGATGCACTTGTCCGTTTAATTCGTACAAGTTCTATTTCAAGAATGTTAAAATTGAATCAATACAGATCACTAAAGACTAGATTACAAAAAATCAATGAAAGACTGCAAGTTGCAGGCTTAGAAGGTTCTGTTATTCCTGCATTGGACACAATACTGAAGTCTGGCCTGATTATAACAGGAATTACTGAAGAGAACATTATTTTTGTTAATAATACTTAAATATATATTTACTGATGTGTACGCTTTTGGTGGTAGAGAGTAGCCAGAGTAGCCACATGTAACGAGTTCGCTGTTTGAGAAAAGCGGTTGCCGTGCTTCTCTAGAAAGACACCTATGCTGAAAGAAAAGGTTTTTTCTGGAAAACTATGTTGAAGGCGGGTTTCCCAAAAAAGGTCATGGCAAACTTCCCGAAAATAAAGACATTCTTCAAATGTGAATCTGGTGAGGAAGTTACTCTTGAAACACTTGACCCTTATTTGAGCCACTCGTGCCCGTATTAACTGAAGAGAGGAGTTTTGGAATTTCATTTCATTCACCTCTGACTTCATATTTGTGATTGTTTATAATTTTACTTACGCTCGAAAAGCGTAAGCTTCTGTGTTATATTTTGGGTTG